ACAACTTGCTTCTTTCATAAATTCAGGATTATAAAATTCATGCAAAATAAAAAAAATGTAAAGGAGGAACCTGGATTAGCCTATGCAAAGGAAGAGTGCAGGATTGAACCAATATGGATATTTTTAAAACCCAAAAATATTGTTCATGAACTTTACAAAATGTTCTCAAAAAAAAAAAATCTGTATGTGTTTCACTATAAAGTCTACCTCCGGAGAGCAAGAGTAGAGGATTTTTAAAAGCCACTGCAAACTAGTTTAAAACTAAGCCAAAATAAAATCCAGAAGATGAAGTGATATATAGAGACAAACTCTTCAAATACTACTGCCAATTCTAATTTTACCGTAACCAAAAGTCTGTAGTGCTAACATTTCAGAGTTGTTTAAAGATGACAATATAGGTCATCTTACCCATAATATGCATCAGAGAAACAGCTTGTACTTACCTGCAGTTACCTTATTTAAAGCAACCAAGGAGCTGAGAACCTTGTTGAAGTTCTGCCCTTGATACAGGTCATTTGCATCAAAAGTCTGAAAACAAAAGACAAAGATACATTACACACACACACAATATTTACCAGCAACATAGGGGGAAAAAAATACTGAAAGATAGTACCACTAACTTTCATGAATGCTATGAATAATAAGTAATACACTGATATAAACATTTAATGTGCAAAATATCTTCATAATTCTCTTAAGTTTGCGTGATAAGAATTGGCATGAACTTTTGGCCAGGTACAGAAATTACATATAAACCAGTGTAAGTGAACAGAAACCTGTCTAAACCTGTACCGGAACAGAAGTTCAGTGCGCACACACTGGTTTAAAAATAGTGGAACCCAGGGTAAGCTAGACCTGAATGGATGTAGTTATCACACTTAATCGGTTTAGGTTAGACCCGTCCGTCAAACTGCTGTCCCAGATCCCTGATTAATTCATGTTAGGTCACTGTCCACCAACATCCCAGGTGCCTTTGGTGGGGCCCCTGCACTAGTTTCCCATCAGAGAGAGCCATATCTTGGCTGCTTTGGCCAAGCACTTAACTGGCCCTGCCCCAAACTCTCTACCTGTCAGCCAGGGAGGATGGGAGCGGGGACCAGAGCGGGGCTCATGAGCTGTTCTGGGGAGAAATTGCCAGTGGTGGACCCCACATTCCCGGCCCAAGTCTGAAGGACAGTGTCCCTCCCCTGTCCCGGTTCTGTTCAACTTCCACAACCATGCGCTAGAGCAGCTCCGGAAAGGGCTCAAATGATTCCTTCTTCCCCACCTCCTCCCACAAACCAAAGCCAAGTTCCTAGCTGAAGCCCCTTCCCATGCAAGGGTACGGCTGCACCCCACCCAGAGTCCTGTGTTTGTGGCTCCAGGAAGGGGTCAAAGGATTCCAATCCCACCCCCAGGGCCACCACTGAAATTCCTGGCTGAAGCTTCTTCCCTCTAGCTGCGGGGCTCCAGTCCCTGGGAAGGTGGGGTCAGTCATGCCCTTGAGGCTACATGGGAACGGGCTTTAGCCAGGAACTTGGCACTAGTAGGGAGTTAATCCTCTGAGCCATTCCTGGAGCCACTCCAACAAACAGTCTAGGGGCTCAGGCAAAACCAAGACAGGGGAGGGACACTGTGCCCCACCAACCGTGGCCAGGAACATGAGGTGTGCTCCTCCCACTGCCTCCCCCCAGCAGCTTGCAAGCCCTGAACCCCACCCCCACTACCACTTCTGGCCTGCCTGGGGTGAACCCCTGCACCCCCACCCTGAACAAAGCCCAGCAACTCCCTTGTTGCTGCAAGTCGGGGGCAAATATGCCTCTCTCCACTAGATGCCTACAGAGGACAGCTACAGGAAGACAAGCAGCAGGAAGAGGCATGTGCCTGGCAACCAATCAGGGATGGTGCAGCCATTTGGCTGGCCTTGGCAATCTCAGGCACACTATGAAGCATGCAGGAGGCCTCCTCCCCACCCCTTCTGGCCTGGGCCAGTGCAGGCATCTACCCGCCCTCCCCCCGACAAAGGGCAAGCCAACATACATTCCATTCACTCCTGATCTAATCTACACAGCTTAGAGAAACCCACATAGATTGGATCAATTTTGCCTTGGGTTTTTTTAATGTCTGTACATAGCCTTTGCTCACATTTTAAAAATACATTTACATCTAAAAACAGGGATAAAAAGTGAGCTAAACACAGACAAACAAAATAATTAATTATAGGAAGTTGGTCCAGCTTTACTAGTTACATTTCACCACCCCTAGATTTTCTTTTCAGTTTTGAACCCAAAAATAAGAATAATAATTCTATTTTATATGTTGAATGGTACACTGAGGACTATTAACAGTGCTGTATAACATAAGACAGGGCCATCCAACTGACATACCATGGACCATATGCAACCCTTAGGGGGTTAACCTGTGCTCCCAACACACCCATTCCAGACACCAACTCCCTCCAGTGCTCCCTGCTGCTGTTGCCAGTCTCTGGGCTCCCCCTCCCTCCTCCATCTTCCATTTCCTACTCTCCAAAGACTTGCTGACATTGGACCTAGGTCACTCAGATGTTGGACAGTCCTGATCTAAGATACGTTTCCACTTCCAGGGTGTCTAATTAACACGTGTAGAATAAGCTAATCCAGTGGTTTTCAACGTGTGGTCTGCAGACTCCTGGGGATCCACAGACTGTCTAAGGGGTCTGCAAAAGATGGCTACCAACAGTCAAAATATGGGAATACCCACACTTACAATTCAGATGGGTCCAGCACCTCCGTTCAAAATGCCCAAGGGGGTCCATACCTCAATTTGACTTTTTTTTTTTTTTAGGGGGCCACAAATGAAAAAGGTTGAAAACCACTGAACTAATTAATGTATGTGTAGAAACAATACAAAGACCATACTGCATTAAATGTAACCCTAAAAATGCTGTTTGTGCTTTTATAAGACGACATGGTCCTTCAAAAGGGTCAGTGAGTGAAGTTTTCTGCAATGAGCAGCTAGCTGCATTACTGGAACAAACCAGCAGCTAAATAACATTCATCTGGATCCTTTAAAAAAGTATTGCCAGGGAGGGATCCAAATTCACCAACCTAATTGTGGCGAATTCTGGCTCTAACTTTGAAGAGCTAGGTGATGATATCAAACATCTGGATTTTTAGATATAAAAAAAATGACCCTGAATATTTGAAGTAATGGAAATATTCAGAAACTCACAAAAATAGGACCACTTGCAATAAATACCCCTTTATGTTGAAAGCAGTTACAGAATTCCCAGATGCAAGATTAGAAAGGGGACAATAAAGCCAGAAAAAAACTATAGCTGTTTTTGTTTGATATAAAAGGGAGAAGGCTACTATATTCCAGGAGACCAACTATGGTCAACAACTTCCTATTTATCTTCCTGGTAAGAGACCCATTTCACAGGCATATCAGAATGTGTCTGTGCTCCTGCAGGGAGTATTCAGAGAAACATGAGATAAGGCAGCCATGTTTTTCTCCCCCGGGAAGATGAGGGAGGAAATTAAGGAAGAGATATAAGCAAAGTACAGTGAAATTTCCATGCCTGGTCACTGACAAATCATAGGCTGTTCTTCTACTCATGTCCTTGTCATAAACTAGATGTTTTTCCAGAACAAAGTACATCTGAGATTGTTGATGACAAGGTATTTAGCAGATTCACTGGAATCTGACAGGGGCTGCAACATGAGCAGAGGTAATCCAACAAAGAATAAACAAATCAGGGGAGGTCTTGTTCAACAGAAAATTGCCTAGTAAAGAAAATCTTTTATAAAGGTTCCATATCTCTTAGGCATTTTTATCCAAATAAAACAAAAACAGAGCAAAATTCAAAACCAACCCAAACCAAAAAATAAAACCCACAAGGATTTTCACAAAAATTGCAGACTTCAGCCTTTCCTTGGCTGTACTTGCAGTTCAACAATGCTCCGTTTCAATTCACCTGTACTGGTTGCTAGCTCTAGTTTTCAGTAGTATAGACAAGGCTTCGGAGTGGCCTTACAGAACACCTACAGAATCCAGCACTTAGTCAATGACTAGATATGCACAGCCTCCAAGAGAGCACAGCTTGAGTTGAAATATTACCATACCAGATAATTAAATGCATAAATAAGCTTATTTAAAATTAGAAGAAACAGTAAGGGTCATGGAGTCCCCTTTACTACAAGTCCTTTAGGATTTACTGTGGATTAGATGGTTTTTTTAAAGCAAAGAAAAACATTGCACGTATCCTATGCAAGATGAAAGAAACTGCCATTTTCCATACTTGGGGAATGGAGAATGTGTTGCTACTGTCTTGTGAACAAGCTGTTTTATATTAAAATAATGAGAAGAAAGAATCACACAGCACTGAAAGGACGATAAAGATTACATATTTACACCCAAATAGAAGAGACCAAAAATCAATTTAATGATTCTTGCTGAACTGAATCCATTAAGACATTATGAAAAATGAATGCATTCTAGCAAACATACAGACTTCTTGTAAGTAATGATTTACTGTGGTATTTTTAAGGTGGAAAAATTACCAAGCATAACAGAAAAGGTCTACCAAGGCAGACCCTCACTCCTACCCAAAAAGCCCTACAACTTTAATGAAACCTCAGAGTATAACTTATGTTTTGAGGGTCATGGTAAAGAACTATAACTAGATGCTAGTGCCCAGCACAGTGCTAGGGCCAAAAGGCTTAAGGTGATTCTTGGATATCCACATCATAACATCAAGTAGAAGTAAGATTATATTGTTGATATATTAGGCACTGGTACAACTATTGTTGGAATACAATCCCAATAGTAACACTTAAAAAAAAAACAGTTACAGGACTGAAGCCCTTACTAGCAGCTATAGATACAAAAATACTTGATAAAACGTAGTCCTCTAATAGGTTATTAGATCATTAATAAAAATGAGTGGGGGAATAGTTTATGAATAATGATTTAACTTTTTCCTAAACACGCTACTTTTAATTATTAAACATAAAAATGATGTCCCAATGGCATCAAATATTGATGAAGACATTTGGGTTCTGCCACTAATACCAACTGAATTAGGCAAGCAGATCCGGATGCAAAACGACATTACATAAATATACAACGAATATTCAAGCTCTTTTTAAAACATCACGGTTTTAAAACAGGGACAAAGTTTGCAAAATGAATGTATGCCAATCTAAAATAAAATATAAATATGTTCTCACCTTCATTGTGAATTTTCATACAGCAAAAAGCTCTCCAAAGCCAATTTAACTCAAGAATAACAGGATGTGAAAAAGGCTTAACTTTCCTGCTGTGATGAGACTATATGGGATACAAGGAGCAATCTGATTGGGTCATCCCAACATGCACAATGCCATCTAAAAATTGACCAGGAAAGCACATTGAATTTGTTACTTCACAGGAAGTTAGACAATGAGGGGACAATGAAAGCAATGCTTGCAAGAAATAAATACATGTATCGTTTTTCCAAGAAGAACCCCTTATAATAATTGTTATAGCTAGACAAAATTTAACAGCTGCTGACAAAAGCAGTAAGT